CGCAGCCGAAACTCATGCCCTTGAGAAGGCTTAAGGCGTAGCAGAAGCAATGGAGGCCCATGAGGTTTACAATAGAGGTGAGTGAATAGTAACACCCTGAGTTCAAGAGTTTTGGGGCGTGTGAATAATAAGACCTTGAGTTAGGCTCATTTCATCGCCCGACGCACTTGATTTTTTTTCCCTTGTCACATCGCAGCGGAGAAATTTTTATTTTTTATTTTTTAAGAAGGGCTTACCATGTTAAAAGTTACGACTTTAGTGTGAATACTATTATGGTTGATATTAGCTTATAAATTTCCCACCCCCGGCAACAATGCTTCTTCCGACCAATCATGGGTGTAACTCACTATTTTTGTGAAAAAATTGAAATTTTTAGTTTTGGGAAGTATTTTGCGTATGAGTTAACAAAAATGTTACAAGATGTTTGATATGATCCTACCATTTATTAGGCCTCAGAACTATTTTTTTTATTGATTTTTAAAGTTGAAAAAAAAAATAGAAAAATAATATAAACTAATAGCGAGGCCCCCATAGAGATATATAGGTGTCAAAAATCTTTGGAATGTCCTAAATTAATTTAGAAACATGTGGTGCGACTAGAATGACTCAAATTTTGGTTTATAATGAATCTTACAAAAGTTCACAAAATCAATCGGAAAACTGTGAGTTATAACTCACAATTTTTATGAAAAAATTGAAATTTTTAGCTTTAGAAAATATTTTGAGTCAGAGTTAAGGAAAATATTGCAACACCTTTAGACGTGATCCTACCATTTATTAAGTCCCAAAGCTATTTTTTATTGATTTTTAAAGTTGAGAAATAGAAAAATATCTTTAAATTTACGTTTTAAATTGTTGATTTCAAGTGTTTAAATATGAATTATAATAAATTTTGCACGAAAAATATATTTTGAAGAATATTAATATGATAGTTTGTTGTTATGGTAAATAAATAAAAGAAAAATTAACCAAAAAAAAATAATTTGAAAAGTGGGGGATCGGTATGAAGATAGCGACTTGATTCGATATAGTTGCTAGACTCCCTACCGTGAGGATCGGAAGGGAAGTACCAATCGTATCCTTTCCTTTTTTTTTTGTTTTTTTTCTTTTTTCATTGAATTTTTTTTTTCTTCCTACATTACTTTATTTAGATTCAAACACCTTTAGAATTAGATTTAGATTTATATCCTTATTTTGGAATTTTTTGACATAGATTATAAGAAAATTTTCACTGGAAATATATTTCGTAGAACATGAAGATGATAGTTTGGTGTTGTGGTATTGGAAAAATGAAAAAATTTACAAAATAAATACGTAAATGGTTTAGGCATAGGGAGACGCAACCCAAACTCATGCCCTCGAGAAGACTCAAGGCGCAGCATAAGTAGTGGAGGCCTATTAGGTTCACAATTTAGAGGTTTGTGAATAGTAACACCCTGAGTTCAAGAGTTTAGGGGTGTATGAATAATAACACCCTGAGTTAGGTGCATTTCATCGCCCGGCGCACTTGATTTTTTTTCCCTTGCCGCATTACGGCGGAGAAATTTGTTTTTTTTTTTTTTTTTTTTTTTTTTTAAGAAGGGCTTACCATGTTAAAAGTTATGACTTTAGTGTGAATACTATCATGGTTGATATTGGTTTATAAATTCCCCACCCCTGGCAACAATGCTTCGTCCGACCAATCATGGGTGTAACTCACTGTTTTTGTGAAAAAATTGAAATTTTTAGTTTTGGGAAATATTATGTGTCACATCCTGGGCTCAACTCTACCGTAACACGATATTGTCCGCTTTGGGCCCTTACCACACCCTCACGGTTTTGTTTCTGGGAACTCACACGAGAACTTCCCAATAGGTTACCCATCTTGGGATTTCTCTCTCGCAAACTCACTTAACTTCGGAGTTCCAATGGAACCCTAAGCGAGTGAGCTCCTAAAAAGCCTTGTGCTAGGTAGAGATGGGAATATACATATAAGGCTTACAGGATCACTCCCCTGGGCGATGTGGGATGTTACAATCCACCCACCCTTAGGGGCCCGACGTCTTCGTCAGCACACATCAGGCCAGGGATTGGCTCTGATACCAAATTGTCACATCCCAACCTGGGCCCCCACCACAACCCAGGCTCGACTCCACCGTAGCATGATATTATCCGCTTTGGGCCCCGACCACGCCTTCACAATTTTGTTTCTGAGAACTCACGAGGAACTTCCTAATAGGTCACCCATCTTGGGATTGCTCTCGCACGAACTCGCTTAACTTCGGAGTTCTGATGGCACCCGAAGCCAGTGAGCTTCCAAAAGACCTCGTGCTAGGTAGAGATAGGAATATACATATAAGACTTACAGGATCCACTCCACTAGGCGATGTGGGATGTTACAATCCACCATTCCTTAGGGGCCCGACGTCCTCGTCGGCACACATCCGGCCAGGGATTGGCTCTGATACCAAATTGTCACATCCTGGGCTTGACTCCACCGTAGCACGATATTGTCCGCTTTGGGCCTCTACTACACCTTCACAGTTTTGTTTCTGGGAACTCACACAAGAACTTCCCAATGGGTCACCCATCTTGGGATTGCTCTCGCGCGAACTCACTTAACTTCAGAGTTCCAATGGAACTCAAAGCCAATGAGCTCCCAAAAGGCCTCGTGCTAGGTAGAGATGGGAATATACATATAAGGCTTATAGGATTCACTCCCCTAGGCGATGTGGGATGTTACATTTTGCGTATGAGTTAACAAAAATGTTACAAGACCTTTGATATGATCCTACCATTTATTAGGCCTCCAAACTATTTTTTATTGATTTTCAAAGTTGAAAAATAAAATAGAAAAATAATATAAACTAATAGCGAGGCCCCCAAAGAGATTTATAGGTGTCGAAAATTTTTGGAATGTCCTAAATTAATTTAGAAACATGTGGTGTGACTAGAATGACTCAAATTTTGGTTTATAATGAATCTTACAATAGTTCACAAAATCAATCGGAAAACTGTGAGTCATAACTCACAATTTTTGTGAAAAAATTGAAATTTTTAGCTTTAGAAAATATTGCAACATCTTTAGATGTGATCCTACCATTTATTAAGTCCCAAAACTATTTTTTATTGATTTTTAAAGTTGAGAAATAGAAAAATATCTTTAAATTTAGGTTTTAAATTGTTGATTTCAAGTGTTTAAATATGAATTATAATAAATTTTGCATGGAAAATATATTTTGAAGAATATTAATATGATAGTTTGTTGTTATGGTAAATAAATAAAAGAAAAATTAACCAAAAAATTTTTTTTTTTGAAAAGTGGGGGATCGGTATGAAGATAGCGACTTAAATTGATAGAGTTGCTAGTTCTTTACCGACTTCCTTCCGTGAGGATCGGAAGGGAAGTACTAATCATATCCTTTTCTTTTTTTTCTTTTCTTTTTTCATTGAATTTTTTTTCTTCCTACATTACTTTATTTAGATTCAAATACCTTTAGAATTAGATTTAGATTTATATCCTTATTTTGGAATTTTTTGACATAGATTATACGAAAATTTTCACCGGAAATATACTTTGTAGAACATGAAGATGATAATTTGGTGTTATGGTACGGAAAAAATAAAAAATTTAAAAAAATAAATATGTAAATGGTTTAGGCATAGGAAGACGCAGCCCAAACTCATGCCCTCGAGAAGACTCAAGGCGCAGCAGAAGTAGTGGAGCCCCATGAGGTTTACAATTTAGAGGTGTGTGAACAGTAACACCCTAAGTTCAAGAGTTTAGGGGTGTATAAATAATAACACCCTGAGTTAGGCGCATTTCATCGCCCGGCACACTTGATGTTTTTTTCCCATGCCGCATTGTGGCGGAGAAATTTGTTTTTTTCTTTTTTTTTTTTTTTTTTTTTTTTTAAAGAAGGGCTTACCATGGGCTTACCATGTTAAAAGTTACAGCTTTAGTGTGAATACTATCATGGTTGATATTGTCTTATAAATTCCCCACCCCCCGCAACAATGCTTCGTCCTACCAACCATGGTTGACCCTTGAGATTAAAACTAAACCTACCTCATATTGATAACATCCTATAAATACTCATCACACCCCCCCCCCCGGCGCACCAATGCTTGGTGCGAGCAATAACAGTCGGCCCGTGGCATTAAAACTAAACCTATCCCCTATAAATGCCCTACCCTCGACACCTACAATTCGTACGGAAAACCATTGCTGACATGTGAGATTAAACATAAACCCTACCCCGACACAATTAGTTCGTACTATGGTTGACCTGAGAGGTTAAATCAAAGGTGTTTGATTGCTTTGTAGGTACAAATTTGTCAAGAATGAAGACGGCGGATTTTTACTACCACAAAGGGGTTGCAATCATTGTTTTTGTGACTATTCGCTACCTCATTGTCACTGCCCATGATAGCAATGCTATGTGAGATTGATTTGTGGTTTTATCCAAAAAATAAAAAATAAAAAAACTCGCTACTTCCCAAAGGCAACGATTGTGAGTCGTTAAGATACCTTAGGACAACGAATTTTCTACTTTAGGCTACACGTGTTTCACAATTTTCTTGTAATATTGCAATAACTTATAAGAAGTTGGGCCACCCTCCCTGTTACCAACTTATTTAGGATAAACATAACTTCATTCACTATAGTCATGCACTAGAAACGATGCTTTCTAATTGCTTATGTGTATATAGAAGGCACAACAAATATGCATGTGAATTATATGCTCCCATCCCACCTTTCGTTTATGGATTTCAATTTCAACCAAAGAATCTAACTAATGTCAAATGCATCATGCATGCAAAAGAAACTAAAACTATCTTTTTAGAACATATTTTGTAAGTCACATTATATGTCTGTATGTTTCATTCTTTAATGATTTAGAAAATAAATTAAACTATCAATCGTCACATCATATGATTTATAAAATATGATTAATAGATAGTCTCCCTAACATCACCCTGCATGCAAATTAAAGCCCTGACCATGGTAAACGCATGCAGAGTCCTTAGCTTCTCGCTTCGGAATATAATTTAACATTAACACTTGCATAACAGCATCTTCCTTTCTACAATACTTGCCTAGCTAGCAAGCTACAATATGATCCGTAGATTGGTATCTCAATAAATATGATTATCTGTGCATTGATGCAGTTAACATGCATCTAACTGGTAAGTTATATCGTTTGTATGTCATTAGTGATAGTTTTACACTGCTGAGATATCATTGATCTTCATCAAGACACCAATATTATGAAGAAATCCCAGTATTAACAGCTAAGAAATCGATAAAAGGAAGACCGGCCACGTTGCTTTTCTGTTGTCCCGTACCTTCCTGATCCACCTCCTCCTCCTCCTTTCTTGCATTATCTATCACTTCACTTCCATTAGACTCAGTATTTACTTGGAGAAAATCGTAAAACTCAATTGGCTGATCTTTATTATGATCTGCAACATAGATATAATAAATATATAATTAGGAACCATGCATGCATGAGAATATTGATCAATGGCCATTAATTATAACTGATAAAGGCATGCATCATCATCAAAAATATATATGGCATTTATTCTATCGTTAGGAAGATGCATGCATGGCACACTTGGAGTAGTCATAAGCATTAATTGGTACTAGAGGATAATCACCTTGGTGCATTGTGGCACTGCAGGTATTGGGATAGAACTCTTTTGGAAATGGAGGAGGAGGGCTATGAGTGAAAGCTGGCCGATATTGATGATAATTTCTGTCGCTGCATGAGTAGTATTTCCCAATATAATTATATGAATCCAGGTTCCATGTGCCGATATCGCAATTGATCTGCAGGGGATGGTCTTGTTTTGAAGAGGATTTTGGTTCATTATTGTTAGTAATGATACTCATGAACGAGGTTTGAGCAGTAGAAGTATTCCTTATTAATTTGGAGTGATTAAGCCTAGATCTTTCTCTGCATCTGCGTGCCATGATGACATGCCAATGGTTCTTGACTGCGTTATCGGTACGTCCAGGGAAAAGCCTTGCAATAACAGCCCATCTATTTCCATGAATGCGGTGAGAAACTAAGAGACGCTCTTCTTCCTCTTCTGTGAAGGGGTTCCTATTGATTCTTGGGTCCAACTGATTGAACCATCTCAACCTACAGCTTTTTCCTGCATCATTCAGTTCATATATATTATTCATGTATGTGATTATATTACAAAAACATCGTTCAATTAAATGGTACCCCTCTTTTCCTTCAAGGGTACTGTACACTAACCCTAACCCATTAACTACTCTCTTTTCTACACACACACACACATGAATGTCTTAGTTGAGTAATAATAATTTATACAAATTTAAATAATCGCACAAAAATATATTTGCCCTAGCTAGCTGCAGCATATATAATTTGGGGCTTCTTGGTATAAGTGGTTGCCAACAATTTCAACAATTGCGAACACATCAATCACAAATGAAAAAAATAGAACTAGTAGTACCTGATCTTCCTTGGAGCTTTTCTGCTATTGCGTTCCAGTTATGAGGTCCATATCGTTCCACCAACTCCCTAAGCTTCTCGTCTTCAGCTGGCCTCCAATGGCCTCTAGTGCACATCTTAATTATATGTATTCAAATTTGATCTTCAAGTGTTTTTTTTCTTAAATAAACACAAAAAGAACAAATTAATAAGTAGGAATTAAAGCTGCCGAACAACTTAGGTAGAGCTAATTCACTACAAAGACCATGGATGCCTGATGTTCTTCATTCGTGATCAAACGGATCGATTAATACTAGCTAGATTCTTACTATTGCCGAGAGCAAAGAAGAAGAAGATGACGACGAGGACGATGATGTAGACCGTAGGGGCAAGGCACTAACAACCGAGACAATTATAATTACGGTACTGCAGGAGAGATCAATAGATATAAGGGAGGAGCCGAGCTAGAGAGATCCTTTGAATTAGCTAAATAGATTAATTATATAAGGGAGAGGGAAAGATAGATGAAAAGTAAGTTCCGTTAGAGAGTGGGAGGGTTTGGACAGACCTTACACCTGCGATTGATGCAACGTCTTGGCTAACAAAAAAAACAACCACAATTATATCATCATCATCCCACCAAGTTATACTATAATATTTATAAGATGAAAATATGACATGAAGAGAGAGAGAGAGAGAGAGAGAGAGAGAGAGAGAGAGAGAGAGAGATGGGTTGCTTGGTGGGGGTGAGATATGGTTCCTCTTTCAACGTCTTTCCAAGTTTCTAACCTACAACGTCTACTTATAACCCACCTAGCCATCTTACTCTCATTTTCTTTTATTTATTAAATTTTGTACATATATATACACATAAATAATTATTTAATTCAGCAATGGTCACATTAACATAAATATGCATCATTAAATAGAAGTTATAACTGATTGCATAGACCAGATGATTACGTACCCATACAGCTAACCCTAATTCAATTAAATAAACCTTATCCTAATTAAGAAAAGGAATTAAACAGTTTTTAAAGACCAGAAGAAAAAGGGCTGGTTGGTTTGGTATCTATGGTGGTGTACTCGGGAATATGGGAGTTTAATTAGGTTTTGTTCACCTTTCAGAGACCTAACTAACAATTGTAGCTTACAAACCTCACGACTCCAACTGCACGTGGAGAATCGGACATCATTGTTACAAAATAGTGATAATAACTACTACTTTTCTAGTCAAACTAACTCAAACTGCTCGATCTGTTTCTCATCTCTGGTCGTGTATCTGTGTACATAGACAGCACTTAATGTTTTGCCTCATGAGCTCCTTCTTGTGAGTATATGAAGAAAATTGTTTCACATTAGATTTAACTTCGGTATTTTATTGATAATTGATTTTACAATAGAAATTCAATTTCTTAATCACCTGTTTCTTCATCTTTCAAGCAAACACATGCATATATTAATCTCGAGTACCCCACATTTGTATATATCGCTTTTTATTAGCTCTCTAATTGAGGTAGGGCGACCCACCAATACAAATAGGTCATATCACTTATTTTCTTCTATCTTTAGCTAGTACTATGTTTTTTTTAAATTAACCGACATTTAAGTTAAACCATGATTTGATATAATGCAATCATGACAACACATAATAGCTTATGTTGATAGTGTAATAAGATGTCCACGATGTAATTACCAACGTCATTACAATATTAACAATGTCATTTTGTAACCTCACCATTAGTATCTAATCGTGGACAGTAAATTTTGATGATTATAATGTAGCCTTACATTTCTTGAGTTAAGACAGTGAATTACGTTGGAAATTAACATTATGTTCAAAAACAGTCTTAACGTAAAGGTTGGGAGCTCTGAAATGAATAATAGTGTGTGATTACCTTTTTCATGTCATAATAATATCTCATGTCTATATATATTACAACAAGGTGTCCATGATATAACAAACAACGTTGTTCGTATAATAACAATTATAATGTTAAGTTCCACATTTTGTAACACAACGTTGACAGTAAGCTTGACAATAAGCTTTGACAATTATAATGTAATCTTACGCTTCTTGTAGTGTTGAATCATTTTGAACTTAACACCACGTTGTAATAGCCTTCACGTGAAAGTTGTGGGCTCAAAAGTGAATAGCGATGCTTGAGTGATTTTATGATTTCAACTTATAATATCTTACAACTATATTGTAAAAAGACGTCTACAATATAACAACTAACGTTGTTAATGTAATATAACAATATCATTGTGTAACCTCGCCATTATTAAATAACGTTAAAAATAAATATTGTCATATAATCTTACAAAGGTTACCAATACCCTTAAGAAAAAAAGGCACATAGTATATTTTCCATTCAAATACTATAAATTTAACCTTAGATCTGTGTCATATCAATTATGTTTGAGTTCACGCATGCATGTTGTGATTGTTATTAATTAGATGGTATAATTTTCTTTTATCGTTTTTTAAAAGGTTTTTTTAGATAAAATAATCTCTGAGATTGATATAATTTTACTTTGATCCTTGACAATGAAAATCGATAGAAGTGGTACCTGAGAGTGTCTATCATAAATCATTTTAGTACTTCCGTGAAAAATATGTCAATATCATCGTTAAATTGTCACGTGAACGACCATGTGACTATCTTTTTAAGAGTATTTTTGTCAAACCAACCCCTCAACTTAACGAGGATATTGACATATTTTTCATTGAATGACCAAAATGATTTACAGTAGACAAACTCATGAACTACTTTTATCAATTTTCATTGTCAGAGACTAGGGTGAAAAGTTATATCAATCTCATGGACCATTTTAGCTAAAAATTAAGTCTTTTTTAACATATGAAAGTTAATGTGTAGTACATATAAGTATTCGAAAAAGAAAATTTGTAGTGTTGGACCAGTGCTTGAGTTACAACCAATGAAATTAATGCGTAGGTCACTATTGGCCTGTTCTGATAACTAAATAACCTGCATTAGTTAATAATGAAGGATGACGTCTCTCTCCTATTGTAGCCATTTATCCTGTGTGTAATATTAAATTATGTATGAAAATGCTGGTGTAGACCCCCAACTTACCGAAAAAAAAATATCGAGCATGTTGGTGTGACCCAACATCCAAACTGCACAGAATCAAGGAAACTAATTAATTAGTTTTCCTGATATTAGTTATAGGGAAAGAAGCCATTCTTATAACCGTTGGCCTACCATTCTCCCAAGTATGAATCATCTAAATTGCTTGTGAAAAAAGTGAGGCAGGAAATACATCCTCCATCTTCACCCACCATAAGTGATATGTTTTACACTGCGCTTGACATTGGAAATGTCACAAGTACTTCATCAACTGTTTCTTCATTACCTACCTGGCTCTCTCTCTCTCTCTCTCTCTCTCTCTCATATTGAAGATATTCACAAAGATTTATGGAATTAATGGTGTACATACATCTGCTGCAAATTAAGTATTGTTCACTGTTAATTAATTTATGGAGTGCTAAAATCTTGAAAAAATGGATGATGAGGAATGAAGAAAATGCATCCTATCTAGATTCGTTTTCATTCCCCAAATCATAACGCAATTCATTGCATAAAAGTGTACATATATATAATTTGTTAATTGAAAATTCAAACCTATTTTTTTTTTTTTTTTTTTTGTCAAAATTGAAAATTCAAACTTTAAATTCATCAATTGTAGATTTCTTCACGACTGTTCACCAGTTTCACCTACTTTTCTTATGGCAGCGAGCAGTGAGCACTGAGCAATGCTATTAAACTCATTCAAAGATGTTGAGAGTATCAATCCCATATCGGGGAAATGACGAACCTTGCATGTGCTTTATAAGTAGTTGGACTATTTCCTATATTGCCAATTAGTTTTGTAGTGGAATCTTAACTTCTTCGAGCAATATCGATTTCTTGGTATTGATAAAATAAAACTCTTGCTAGTTAGGTTTCCTTGTTCCACAAGTATTGTAGTAAAATGTAAATTAGCTTATTTTTTGAGAAATTATAATCCTTGAATCCGAATGCTTGTGATGTACATATATAAAAGAAGTTTACCCTATAAATGAAATCTATCGAATTCAATAGTTCTGCACTACATTATGTACATAAACGAATGAATGCATGATCTTTGACCATCTATGTAACTATTGTGACTGGTAATAATATTAATGATGAATTTTTCGCACTTGTTAGGGTACAAATATATGAGGATACATAAATTCCATTTTGAAGGAATGTTTTGATGAACTTTTAACGGACACGTACCTTAGTTTACAGTGGTCTTGTCCACCTTACCGTATACATATATATGCGTATAGATATATGAAACAAGGTAGGTAGCTGGTAGCATAGTCTATAACTTTCTCTTGTTCTGTGATTCTAGCTTTCTCTCTTACTCAAAAGCCCGTTTCTGCAAGAAGTTTAACCAAATCCTGATTAAGGCCGTTAATTAGTCCCCACAATCGATCACAAGGAGTAGGGATTTGACACTCACCTAACTAATATGGGATAAAGCTAGGGTTTCTGGTTCCAGAAGTAACTTAAACTTCCCATCTGTAAAACTGCCCAAACCCAACTTATGAACCATTCCAAGGGATTGCTTTTGTTTCTTGATCGAGCTCTCCACTAATCAAGATCAATGAAGAGTACACCTACCTACCAAACCACATATATATATATATATATATATCCCCATAACATGATTAGCATCTTATCGCTATTTTAGCTAATAATTAGCTCTTTTCGTACGTGTTTTAATTTTCAGTTAATTTTCATTATTGTTTTTTGTACAAATGTCAAGGTCAAAAATCAGCTTTCAACACGTATGGACTTGGTGATTAATTAATCTAGAACATAAACAATGTTTTATGTTTAAATCAGGCTAATCACAACCCAACCCAAAGATTATATATTATAATTTGTGGAAATAAAATGCAGATGCTTCCTTGAGTGCAACTCACTTTTTTTGAGTTGGTTCTAGGGTATTAGGTAGAGGACAGGGATATATGCAAACTCTCAATCTCATGCACGTCATTGTTTCGCTAGCTTAGCTAGGATATATATACATTCATTTAAAAGAACAATACTTGGTTACTCAAATAATGAGTAGGAGTTCCTACCCAAAATCGTTCATGGCCGATTCATAGAACTTCGTGTTTATAATCGAAACCATTCATATTATAAATCACTTTATAAAGATCGCATATGCAAAAATGAATTAAAACTAAGGTCATTTAATCTTCAAATTATATAAAACAGATGAACATAATTGATAAAAATATGACGAACCGTCTATGTATTTGCTATAATAGATTGATTAAACGACCATAGTCTTAATTCTTTTTTTTTTTTACAGAGATGATCTTTATCAAGTAATTCATAAAATGAACTGTTCTGATCATAAGCACAAAACTTTGTAATTCGAAGACATAGAATTTTAAATAAGAATTTCCTACTCATCCTTGAGCGGCCAAAGCCAAACATTGTTCCCTTTAAAATGGATATGTCCTTGTACAGTTGTACTAACCTTGATGTTATCTATCACCTTTACATTTTCTAATCCAATCCCTGGCTGCCTACATTTCAATCCTTATAACCAAATTGTGTACCATTAATTAATTAGTTAACTAACTTCACCTTGTCGGTTGTCCAACTGAGAAGCGACTGCATTTCTATACATAGCAATGGGACCATGATTAACCATAAGAAAATATTGACCCAAAAATGAAAATATTGAATTCAAATATAAATTAAAAAGTAAAAAGTAGATATTTGACAATGATACCTAAAAAATTGTTATCACCACCCTGTAAAAACAAGATGCACTCTTTGAAGTGCAATTTGTATGTTGGCGTTATGTAAAAAGGGCTGTCATAGGAACTTATATCTATTTTTTAATTTGTAATGTAAACTAAAATTTTAAGCCATTTGTCATATCAAGTTTCAAAAATCATTGGTTTATCATCTCATCTTAACTCGATTAAGTTTTCCATCCAAAACTTGCACATGACTTATTTTCAAGGTTATTTTGAACATTTTAACTTTCCCTTCAAGATTATTTTGGACATTTCAACTCCCATTTTATTTTAATCAACATGTTCGACAACGTTATGTTCTCAAAGCTTGTAATTAGTTAAACTCCATGTTAGTGTGCTTAATGTACCATTTTAGTAGTTCACTATAAATTTATAAAACAAACGTGACATGTATTTTTCATACCAAAAGATAAGTAGGGAACTTGTAAAAAATAAGTCAAAAGTTGAAAATCAATTTATACCCCCCCCGGGGCCCCCGGCCTACATATATTGCTTATAAAAATAATAAATAAATATATAGACTTGTGAAAAATGAGGTCAAAAGTTCAAAATAATGTTCTTTTAGATGGAAAACTTAATGAACTCAAGGTGAAATGATTATTTTTTAGTGCAAATAACAATTCTCCGTATTAAGAGTTTTAACGAAAAGCCCACGGTACTGTTTATTTTAACGAAAAACCACATTTTTACACTAAAAAGTTAATTATGGTATTATTCACTTTACCATTAGTTTTCCGAAATGAAAAACACAAGTAGTTGTGGCCAATTCTTGACTTGTTTAAGTTTATAAATGGAGCTTCCACTATTGTACTAGAATTGTTGTTGAAGAAAACTTTAGTATACAGTATTAGTTGGAAATTATATCAGCGGCTAGTGCTCAAAGGAAAAAAATCATGACGAGATACCATTTCTTTCGGCTCAAGTGTTGATTGACGCAATGAGCTCGCAAGTCCAACATGATTTCGACATTTTTCATGTCCAAATTTGACTAGTGGACATCCTCCGTCCTTTCATTTAGAGAAATATTACCACTAGCAAATTAGGAATCTTCAGGTTTACTCCAAGTTACAACATGTAACCTCCGTAAATTCAAGAGTTACATCTTATAACTTTCAAATTTGAAGTAACTTTTAAAATAGGTCACGTTATTTATTATTTTTATTTTATTTTATTTTCACATTACATTACGAAGTTTTGAAATTATCAATTTGTCTTTTGACATATCCTCAATTACATTCCAAAACAATTTGTCACACATTCTGGTCTTAACAGTGTAAGTGTAACTTCTACGCTGCCTGAAAACATGTCTCATATTTATCAGATCATCCATTGATACGAAATGCTATGAAATTAAATAAATGAAAAACATAAATTGGTATAAATGTGAAAAGTTAAAAACTTAACATTCCTTTTCAAAACTCACCTAAAACATATGATAAGTGTACAGTGAGCTCTAAATTCAATGAAACTAGCCGAGGCCACAAGTTGGGTGCATGTTTGAAATATTCAGCTTTTTGCCACGTTGTACTTCCACAAAGAATGTAATTGTTTGTAAAACCCTACTCTATCTATCCGTGCCCTTCCTATCCCTGATTTTGATGTTCCGGTCAAAACATCATGATTCATGATGGTAAATACAAACAAAGTGGTACCTGTAACTCAAAACTTACATGAAACAGTAACACCAAGTCGGCAGTTTTTTAAAACTAATCAAGCGATGTGTCAGAAATTTAAAACACGTGCCGTTGTGTTATGGATTCTAGATGCTACTGTGGTGTCCCGAGAACCTGTTAAGTATCCTAGTGATTATGCACGTCAGTCAACGAGATATTAAAAATAGTTGGATAGAGAGGGAGAGAGATTACATGCTCAAAGTGATCATCAGTTTCTATTGTACAAGGGGGAACCAGACAGGAACGACGCATTCTGTACAGAAGATCCTGACGGAAAAATACAACGTCCTTGGTACCCAACGTTAATCTGCATTCAAGAAAGGGAAGTCATTGAGTAGCAGGACAACTGAAAATACAAGCACAATAAGAAACTTTGTATCTCAAGACTCACAAGGTACCCTGGGGAGAAATAAATTCTTTTGTCTTGGAACAGTGTTCAGAAAACACATACCTGCAAGGATTACTGGAAAATATGCATTTTGGAATGTGATTTTGAAGCTCTTCCGTTAAATATTTTGGTAAAGCATTCCTGGGCAGAGCTGTTGAAGGGCCTGAATTTGTCAAAAAGTAGAAAGTGATCAAGAATGCACCTATACTCTAGGCCCATTTTTGAAGAAACCTTTTCTTTCTTTGGAGCAGCATGTTAAAGCAAGCATCATATACCTGCATCATCAGGACCTGGGATAAATAGAAAACAACTACGCTCTGCTACCCATGGATGGGCTGCGATCATCTGCCCTAGTTTGCCAAACTGCGACCTGCATGTCTAGGGAGCTCACTATTGTTTTTACTGATGTAAGAAAGAAAAAGACTGGAGAAAGAATGAAAAGCAAGATTACATGGGCGAGAGCAAAAATTCCCCATCAATACAAATAAGCATGGTACAAATTCTTCATCCTCAAAGGCACCGAGGACTGTCTCTAGCTTTCCCATAGCCTTGTCAAATAAGAAAAGAACTATTGATGTAATGTCGAGAAACTCTGAGAATATATAAAGTTTTTACCGTCTTTCATAAGAAAAAGAATGTTAGTCACCTCTTCATTGTCGAGCCAAATGTCAGATAGTATGACAACATTGTCATTAGCTGCTGTCCTATCCAACTTTGCAAGTCTGAGCTGTTTGAAGTGTAAAGGAAACTATATATCCATAATAACCTGCTAGTCTATATGGTTCACCTGAGCTGTTTGAAGTGTAAAGTAAACCTTCACAAAAAAATTTAGCAGCCTGATGCCTGATACAATCTCTTGAGAAACAAATTCACTCGAGTTACTTTAAGATTCACCGATCTGGTCCAGATTAGCTAAATCGATTACCACATTATGATATGTTAATTCAGCCCCATATTACGTGAAAATAAGTAATTCCGAGAAGGAGCAATGTTCTTCCTTGGGAATTACAAGATATTAAGTAGTGGTATTTTTAAAAGCAATTTTTTTTAAGAGCATAGAGAAGAAAAGGATGTTAGCTAACCTGAAAGATACCCTCTAAGAGAATCTCACCTTCTGCGACAACTATTGTGTTCTCCACGAAAAACCCTGCAGTTATCTGGTATGGATTGTCAAAGAAAATGATTATTTCAAAATTTATATTTGACAGAACCTCAACTTTGTAATTCACGAGTTCAGGCATAGCCATAACTCATCGCACAACTGAGCCTCTATAAAAAAGATACGGAATCAATGCTTCCCATAAAATAAACACTGAGGTTATCAATGATTACAGTGTGTAAAGGATATTGCATTTGATAAATCGATTTCCACAGACGAAGAAAGGTCTTCCAAGTAAAAATGACCATCCTCCAACTAAGATATCAGTCCCATCACCCATCTCCTTCCGGTTTGCCCAATCAGAGACTGAATTGGAGATATCTGGCCAGCATGTCATAAATAAAAATTCATTCAATTCAATCTTGGCGCTTATGAAAGGACTCCAATCAGATTTACTCAAAGAAAGAAAATGTGAGGACCAACCTCGCGGCGACCTGAATCAGACGATTTAGAACCAAATGCTGGTCTGGAAAACTCCTTATGGCGAGAGATAATCTGGGAGAGCAAGAGAAACCTATCCTTGTGCAGTGCCGATTTGGCGGATGCTTCGCCATGAATAGGTAATCTCCCAGCATGCCTAAAAATCAACCCGAAAAACGACAAGAAAAGCACATTAGCCTGTTCAAAAACACATTCACATTACAAAGAATTAAAGAATTGGTTGGCAAAAAAGAGACATACTTGTAAAAACTTTTCTTGATGGGATCGTATCGGAACTTTGGGACCTTGAAGGCATCAATTATGTGCCAATCAGGTTCAGATGTACTAGTAACACAGTCATCATCGCCGTCGTAGATGGCCGCGTCAGCACGCGACAGTTTGGTAGCGAGGCGGTGCACCGTCTCCTTGTCTTTTCCTGCAATCCCAAAGAAGAAGGCACAATCTTTTGTTTAGGAAGAAAAAAGGGCAATTTGAAAATGATTGATTTTGTGAAGAAATGATGAAAATTGAAAGAGAAAAGTTTGGGGGAACAACGGGGTTGGGTCTCGAGGAAGTCGAGGAGGAGATCGATGGCGTCGTCGTCGGGAGCAGAGTCGTCGAAATTGGATGCGAAGGAGAGGATCTCGTCGACTGCGTCCGGTTCAAGCGTGTACCCTCTGATCTTGCACTTCCTCTGCACCTTCTTCCTCCCCAATCTGCTCATCTCTCTCTCTCTCTCTCTCTCAGAGTTCATATTGCTAAAACCTCGGTACTATCTTTCGGCTTTTACTTGTTTTGGGCGGGAAAATGTCATTCTTCTCTCTTTTTCCACATGAGCCGGGAAAATATATCTACTTGTCAACTTCCCATTAGCACGGTGCTGTTCACACGTCATTTTTTATTTCTTAAACACTTATCTTAATTTTTGACCGTCGAATTAAATAAATTAAGATAAAAAAACAGAAATTCATAACAAGTGTATAGAAGGTAAAAAAAAGTTTTTACGATCAACAAGCGAACAGTGAGCAGTACTTATCTTCTCAATGTTTGAAGATATCTCCCACCAAACAAACAAAAAGTTTCATTTCCGCAAAAAATGAGGTGTAGTTTTATAATTCAAGGTCTTCAACTTGTGTTTTTTGTTTCCCATTTTCGTTAAAATTAGATAAAACGCCCGCAAAACAAGCTCCAACTGGGGAAAATTCTACTCTTCATTTTTTGTTTCCCTTAACATTAACTTCCCTCTTCTTACAAATTCTACTCTTCATGTAGTCACCTCCAACTGGGGAAAATTTCGTGTCTGGCAGCCGGACCACATGTCCATGCGGCCACACACAAGACCAGAGATCCCTTGTATTATTGTATCACTGAACCCACGGGTGCTCCCACCTTTTGAGAGGGGTGCCTCATGAAGCTTCCCGTACACAAGTTCTCCATCTAGGACTGGGACCGGTATCAATCATCACTGGAACCAAGGCAAAATCACAGTATTGAGTCTGAATTTTCGTCACCTTCGCATCACCCTCAACTAGTAGCACTACTAAGCCTGCTTCCTTACTCCTTTTGCAAGACAGACAACTCTGCAGTCTTTTAACCTGAAACACTATTTGGGACTTGGTGGAAAATCTCCATGTTGGTATCGAACTGCATTCACACCAGTTCCAGTCCGAGGCATGGCTGACCTGGTACAGCAACAAGATTTTATCTCGAAACATCACCTTCAGAATTTGCTAATGTGCTCAAGCTCCTTGTTCCAATTCCTTTCTTGATTCCATTTAATTAGACAGTCTGAAAGAATTTATCAGGCAAATAGGTACAAACTTCATTAGCTCTCTCTCAAACTCATGCTCTTCCGTTTCTGGTTCAATGCAAAACGTCTTGCCATAGAAGGATTATAGAACTTTCTCATATGACTCGAGAGCCTGTGAATCGATTGAAGATCACCAATCACTGAAAGCTTCATCAGGAATGAGTCAAACTTGCTATATGGCAATTTCATTTCCTTGTTTATGACATCTTCCAATAGGCAACATGCATCTTCCACTTTATTGCAATCAAAAAGCCCTTCAATCATCATGCAGTAAGTATCAGTGTCCTGTGCGCAGCCCCTCTTATCCATCTCATGCCAAGTCTCAAATGCTCCATCAGGATCACTCATCTCAAAATACATTGAAATCAGCATGTTATAAGTCTGCACACTAGGCATACAACCTCCGTCTATCATCCTTCCGTAAAGCTTAAGTGCTTCATCACTCTTTTTATTGTCACAAAGGACCTTGAGAAAACAGTTATAAGTAACTACGTCAGGAGGGTAACCTTTGTTTCCCATCTCTTGCAAAAACTTGTAAGCCTCGTCCACCTTCCCAGCCAAACACATCCCTTCAAGTAGCTCCTTGTATGTAGAAACATCAGGAAGACAACCACTGTTTATCATATGTCCCAGGAGTTTGAAGCACTCCTCCATTTTATCATGCTGGACAAGAGCCACAATCATAATTGCATAAGTTTTTGCAGTGGGAGAAGAAAGCGTAGAACCTTTCATTCGCATGAATTCAAATAGTTCAGCTGCCTCGGAAACCATCCCTGCCTTGCAAAAGGCATCGATGGCAGTAGTGTATGTGAAATTATCAGGAGTATGACCCTCTTGGATCATCTCTTCCAGCAGCCTCATTCCTCTAGTCGGGTTCCTAACTCTACACCAACCGAAAAACAAAATGTTGTATGTATTAGCATCAGGCTTAACCTTTTTCCTCACCCTCTGTAACATGTCTTGAGCATCCTGAACCAGACTGCACTTACACAAAGCATCCAACAGCAGGTTCAAGGCATTGATTTCCGGCTGCGTCTTCACCCTTATCCTCTTCTTCTTGGCGAATTTCTGCAGATAGGTGAGATGCTTTTCCGTGTATTGCTTCAAAATCTTTAAAAGAACCTCAACGGGAACCTTATTCTTGTCATGCCTCTTCATATAATCCAGTAAATCACAAACAATTCGAAACTGCTTCACCTTATACCTCGTGCACGACAATATATCAATCATAATATTGTACGCCGCAGATTCATGAACATAATTCTCTTGGTGGCCTGCCCACATAAAAAACCTAAATGCTAGTTTCTCCTCGAAACGAAACCTATCAAGTACTCCAACAACCAATGGAGTAGTCAATGGTAAACCAACTTGATCAAGAGCTTTCTCCGTATCACAATATGAGTAAGAGTTATCCATAATCGCCCCGTATAATTTATCGACATTACTTCCTAATAACCTTTCCTCACCACCAACCCCATCAAAATCCAAACTTTGACCTACTGCAACGATTTCTGAACAAAAAGGACGCGCAGTGACCTTAAATCTAGCAAGAACATTCATGGGTTGCGATAATTTAACCAAATTCAAACATGGGGTCCCTAGAAATGGCATGGAAAGATAACATGAACACGCAGAGAGAACGTAATTTCGAAAATTTGATATGGGTTCAATCGGGGATATCACATATCCAAAGATATTAGCTTTGGAGGGGAGGGATAAGGAGAGATTCTTGGAAGTGAACATATTGATGAAATATACGCCTCGCGTGGAAGACAATGAAGTTTTAAGAGATTGGTACAGCATATTGTTTGAGAAAAAGGAAAGGGAGAAGATTACCAGGAAGGATGCCAACTCTGCAACTTTTTCTCTTTACGCGCCTTGGCTTAGACCCAGAGCCAGTGGGTAAGTTGGAGAACGATAAACACAAAAACCCAGCAACAATTTTTGAGAGAGAGGGAGAGAGGGGGAAGGATTTGCTCTTCAGCAGAAGATGGCCGCTTTGCAGGGCACTGGACATTGACTCAGTGAGGGGGGTGTTTAGTGGGCCTGGGTGTTTAGGGCTCGGGAGCCCAACGCAGAGTCCACCAGGATCCAGTTGCATTTGCACTTCTTGTTTAGTGGCTAAGATTAGATTACTCATTTGATTAAAAAGGGTGCTGGTATTCACATATATTTTTAAGTCTCTTACACAGTCTTCTTTATTTTTTTTTCCATTGGTTTGAATAAATCAAACGAACATAGCGAACATAATTAAACAAGAATGTGCATGAAGAGAAAAAGGGTGTGTGTTTATCATTTCCCTTTTTAAAATGCGATATGTTAACAATAAATTAAGTGTCAAACGAGCTCTTACCTCCAACTCAAAATGGACGAGTTCAATTCATTAGGTTCTTCAATTTGTTCCGCAAAAGAAAGAGAGCGGCGAGAAGGCATCTTTTGATTACTATTAGAGGAAAATCTCAAATGGACAAAAAGTTGAAGGAATGAATTAGTTATAAGGCGTTATATCCTGCAATTTGTAGGGATTTTTTTTCTTCATGACTAATTAATTTTCTAACCTTAACTTGAATTAAATTTGGAAGTGAGCCAGTAGTTTTTCTTTCAACATCACCTAAATCCAACGAGTTATCAAATCCAATCTTATTATTAGATACCAAACATCATGATCTTAGGGTTATCAATAGTTCAGATATTATCTTTGAAGTACTTATGAAACGATAAAATTGGTACTTTAAAAAAGTGCTTTATGTGAAGCTTTAATAAAGTAGAAATCTGTCCTTAAGACTCCACAGGCAAATCAAATCAGTCCTTAATTATTGAAGAAATCAAACACAATCACTCCTAAAAATATTGCCTAGCAAACACTTCTTTTCTTCACAATCCCCTTCCAGCGCGACACTATCTCTTGCTCAACGTCTGTCACGCTCTTATGAACAGTAGACTTCACAGCCACCTCGCTGTCACGGACTACTTCATCGACAGTAGCCGTGACATGGGCAGTTTTGCTAGACACTTGGCTCGGGAGTGTGTCTATTTCCCTCATAACTTTGTCAATGTCTGAGATGAGCCTCTCCGCTAAGCCCCTGCTGAAATCCTCCCTAATAACCACGCGAAGAACAGCTACATGTTCCGCATTGGCTGGCATCGTGTAGGCTGGAACTATCCATCCGAACTTCCTCAAACTATCTGCTACCTGGAACACGGTGTGCTTGCTGCTGTCTTTTAGAGAAAAGGCCACAAGTGGCACTCCTATGTCTTTGGAGAGAATTTCAAACCGCCCTGTTTTCTCTAGTCCTTGTTTCAGCATTCTTGTATTCTCCATGCAGTTTTCCATCACATTTTTGTAACCCTAATACATACAGGGAAAGAGACACAACCTAATCAGACAATAAAACATCATTTTGCGTATAAAATCAAACCGGAGAACATTTTAACTAATGTAGGTTTTTATGTACGTATGAAATGGTAGCAAAAGTTACCTCAAAACCGAGTCGAATGAACTGATAATACTGAGCAATTATCTGGCTAGAACCTACAGCACAACATATTACACAGTATGTGATGAAAATTAGGGAATCGTTTAGGGGCTGATTGTACAGGTAGAAGCACATAAAACTGTTTCCTCAGGATGCACATATGGTAGCCGGCGCATCTCCAAAAAGTGTTTTTGCGACCCAAAAGCAAACTAATTAAACCAAGCTTTCTTAGCGTGTACATACTACATAGTACATATTGATCGATTATGTATAATTCAATACCTTTAGAAAAGTTGAGGGTGAAGGTGGGCTGATCAGCTCCAAGGTAATTGATGTGAAATATAAGCTCGTCCGGCAAGTCCTCCTTACTCCTCCACACAACCCACCCAACACCGGCGTATACAAGGCCATACTTGTGACCACTCACATTGATGCTCTTGACTAACGGCAAACGGAAATCCCACTCGAGCTCAGGATACAGAAACGGAGCAATAAAGCCTCCGCTGGCAGCGTCGACATGAATGGGAGTGTCCCAGCCCGTCTGCTTATTCTTTTCAACAAGGAGATCATGAAGGAGCTTCACATCTTCGAACTCTCCTGTTAGGGTTGAGCCTAGAATAGCAGCAACACAGATAGTGTTCTCATCAACCATCTCAACTGCTTTCGCAGGGTCCATCACGTAGTATCCCTCCGACAGCTTCACCTCCTTCAGTTCAACTTCGAAATACCTCGCGAATTTTTCCCAACAAACCTGCGGAATATATTTTGATGGAGAAATAATATTAGGCATGCGTCAATAATCTTTTGAAATCTCAGTTGAATACAACCCGTAAATGCAAGTCATCAGAGTAAGAATTCTGACCTGCACATTAGCTCCGGTGACAATGTTGGGCTTATCAAAAGGCTTTCCCTCTACTTTTCTCTTGTTCTGCCACTTCCTTTTGAAAGCTAGGCCTGCCAGCATAATTGCCTCTGAAGAACCTACTGTTGACACACCAACAGCAGTTTCGCCGTCTCCAATGGGAGCATTAAACAGATGTGCGATAATATTCACACAACGATTCTATATTGAAAGAGCAACAGAAAGAAATGTCAACATTACCAAGAAATGGCAAGTTTGAATTGGGACAATAGACATTTACCATAATCTTATCATCCTACAACTTTTAATTAAATTATTAGGTTTATGTTCTCGTAATGTTAGAAGCATATTGTTGTGCAAACATAATCTTCGTCCTTGGAAGTTCCATTTGATTGTTTTTATGTTATCGTTGAACAACAAGGTTAAAAAGTTACCTACAATGTCAAAACTTCGAAGCTGAATATCTAACTAGTAACCTTTTAGTTATAGTTGTTCTCACAAATGAAGCTGCATTTTTCTTTTACATAAAATTACAGTCAAGTTTATCGACAACATATTAACATTTACACAAATCGCTTAATAAAAAAATATAAGATCAAAATATCAATAACATCAACAAGAATTTCGTTGAAAACAGTACAAGGTTACAATATCATAAATTGCATCTATTTAATCTTTATTTTTGATGTTAAATAAAAAAATAATTGACCATAAAAGTGACAGAGAGAACATGTGTCCATGATAAATTGTTATCCGAACCCAAATCTTCCCCGGATCTAAAAAAATTGAGCCTAAGGATCAAATGACTACAAATAGGAGGCTTTTCTAAAAGTTATACATAATAATCGTTAGATCAAATTTCAACAGTTCGAATTATTTAATCCTTAGACTCAATTTTTTTTAGATCCGAAGAGGTTATGGGTTCTTGTTATCCTATCCCCAGTCCTAATCCTCTCACCCATATATACTACATTCTGGACCCAGACGAGTGAATTTATAAGTAATACTTCTGTTGACTTGCATCCTCCAATACGAGTCCGGATCCTCGTTGAATCCTGAAGATCTCGAAAATCTGTGAATTGTGTACGTTCATTATACATTGTATGATCGAAAATTATTTTAAATATCTTTATTATACAGTACTTAACAAAAACTGAATATACAATATATGATGAACAGACACAATTTACGAATCCCTAAGATCCTTACCAAATAAATCCGGAGAGGATCCTGTTGGCTCGAATACTTCCTCGATCTCGACATATGGCGTTTAATTTAGTTTGCAAATTAAGTTGATTTTGTTATAATTAATATTAATATAATTCATGCAACCGGTTGTATATGTCTTATCCGATTTTCGTCAAATCACTGACGAAAGATAAAAAATAAAAAAACAAAGACCAATGCAATATACAACCGATAACATAAAAAAATTTACCGTAAAAGTAAACGAGATGATAGATGGATGAGCTGACCTGGAGTTCTGTAGTAACGGGGTACTCATCCATGTCGACGTAGTTTTTGTTCATCGCAGCCGTCATCAGCCGATCGCATTCGGGCTCCATCCACGTCGTCACGAACGACGCCAAGTTCAGCCGCGGATTCCCGTCCAGCATCAGCTCGTCGTTTATTATCTGATACGCCACGTCCTTTGGCATCGACGTCTCCGGCATCTGAAACCTACACAATTACACGTACACGTACGCATTGCTTAATTCTTGGTAAAAAATCGCTACCTTTCATTAATATTACTTAGTGTTTATTAAACAAAAAAAAAAAAAAAAAAGGGATGTAAGGAATTAAAGAGTGGAAGAACATACTTAGGGAGGACGTTACGCACATATCTGGAAGCAAAGGTACTGTTCAGCTGCTCTCCACGACGCTCACTGGATGCCGTTGAGATCACCATCTCAATAAATTGTTAAATTTAGGACGAAAGAAGAAGAAAATAGGGAACAAAAATATGAAGCCTTGTTGCAGCTACAGAGGAGTTGATGGTTTTATACTATTATCTCAAAACTTTATGGTAAATAAGAAGCAAGTGGGGAAAGTAATAAAAGCATAACGCATTGAAGGGACCTGGATTGTCTGCCTCTCCATCTCACCCTTTATATTTTTATGATCTCAGCTAAATCACGTCAATATTTTATATTTTTATTATTTTTTATCTTATTATTTTTATAAAAAAATTAATATAAAAAATTAATATGACTTAACCGTGACCACAAAATATAGAAAATGATAGAAGATAGAAAGAGCAGATAATCAGGCCTGTATTGAAGCACGTATGGCGGAAAAAGGACACGTACTGAAAATATTTGGCGAGTTGGCCATTTTACCCATGCATTATTTTAAGGGAATCTTAATGATTAAAGCATCGCTATGGACTCATCCATCCTACCCTACTTGTTTTGTTTTCTATCCACCTTGTGTCGGTAGAGAGAACCAAATGAAAATTTTTTTCGTTAAATTCATCCAATTAATAAATCAGGATCTTTAAAATTAGATCTAATTGTTAAAACTATTATAACTTTTAAATGGACCATCTATTTTTAATCGTTTGATCAAATTTTAAGAATTCGGATTAATTGATTGAGTAAATTTGATAAAAGTGATTCAGAGAGGATCTCTTTCCGAACAAAACGTCTTCAAGCCCATGTGGAGTTCATTCATTGGGTTGAATCGATGACAGTGAAGCCCATGTGGCCCCATTTTTTATAGGTTATGAGGGCATTACCGATAGGGACTCGGGGTTAAACTTGTAGGGCCATCCAATAAAAAACTATCACAATTTCAAAAGAGTAATGTTAGTAAGACTAAATTTATAAATAAAATTTACAAATCAAATAACATGTCACTAATAAAAAACAAACACGTTTATCAACGCTGAAGTAATAATCTAATCGTCAACTTCTATGTTATTTAGCTTAAAATTTTAATTTTCATAGCATTACTTTTTTTTAAATATTTGTGGTGAGAGTGGGGTCAAAGTGGCCTTCTGTCCGACTCAAGTTTTTCGGGATACTTCAAGTGTCAAATCATCCACATTTTTAGTTCGATTATAAATTACAAGGCATGAACTAGTTAGTTTAAGACGTTATTAAAGACAGTTAAACATAATCATTACACACTATTTCTGTTATAATTTTATATTCCTCGTCTAAAACAGCTCCTATAGTTTATAGTAAATTGTAATTATGCAATAAGACTTAAGTTAATCAGATCAAGGGAAGTTGGGAAATCACAAAGTTAAGTAGTAATTAACATCTGATTAGGGATAAATCGCTTTAAGGACGTGGCAAATGGTTACACAATTCAATACGATTTAAGGACGTGGCCCCCAGATCGGATCGGATGGGATGCAAAGAAGCATAAGGAAAGAATTGCCGTTGGTATTGAAGTTGACCGACTGGTGGTGGACGCTTTACAGGAAGATGCCGGTTGGCTTGGCTTCTCTTCTCGTGCGCTTTCATTTCTCCACGAACATTACGATTATGATTCGTTTAATTATAAAATCTTTTACTTATAAATTGAAAGAAATATTACTAAACTGTAGTATTAAATAACAAAAATGTTATACTGTGCTAATTTCTCCTCTTATATGAGCTGTTCCACTAGGTGTCCAATCAAAATTTTCCTCGCGAAACATAACATTGTTCATGTATAGCTTACGTGTCTAACCAATCAATCGACCTAATTTCCAAAAATCATAATTATTAATGAGTAAAATTTTCATACAGTTTTGTTTGGGAAAATCATATTTTGTAACCAAAAGTATATTCTTTTATTATATCTCTTATCAGCGAGTCAATGTCAATGACCCACTACGACCAACCAACAATTAAAAATTAAACTAATTTCACAATAGCGGTGAAAAATGGGAGGAGTGATTGCTATCTGCTAACTAAAGGACACTCCGTGTGGTAGTCCGCTATCCTAATATATAGCATACACACGATTTTTTGAAATAACAAACTGGAGATTATCCGCTGATACGGACCTGTAAACTGAATCGAGAACAACCCCAGTGGTTGCAGCAATCTCCTTGACAACATTAAGCTCCTCAGAGGTGTTAATTGCATATCCTAGACCTTTGGCCTGTCAAGCCACAATATACAATTGCTTCATGATTTGTAAACAACATCTAAACAGTTAAAACCCATGATATTTCTAAACTAGTACAATCATGCAATTGTACCCCCACTGAAAATCAGTAAAATCAAAATATTAGACTGACGGTATTATACTCAATGTAGAAAACATGTGAGATAATATTCGTTCGACGCGTATGAAAAGAAGCAAACCTGCCACAAGCAGCAACAATATTCTCGAGGAACATTTGATAAGCTCCGATAAAAGGCATGCGTAATTAAAATGGACTTGAAACAGTAAAAAAGGCAATGTTGACTAGAAAGGAAACGCAGCACACCGCGCTCCCGACTTTGGCACACTCTTCTCTTGCAGCAAATACAACACGAGCTCCAACCAAACAATCGACGAGAAGATTGCCTGTCAGTCCAGGATTTTTGTCCAAGAGAACCTGCACTACATCAAGATGCATCAGCAAAGAGTGTGCGGAACAACTTACTTGATTGAAAAGAATATTTTTACTTTAAAACCAGCAGTAAAAGCAAGAGATGGAAATTGACCTTAGGGGTGCTCAACAATGGTTGCTTTGGATGCTCCCTATCGTTATGACACAGTCAGCACCCCTTGCCACGGCATCGGCCATCAAGAATTCCAATTTTCTGACTTTGTTACCGCCCACTTGCGTTCCCGAAAGATCATTACGCTAGATATTCACAACGAATCAATGAATTACACCTCGAAAAGAGCTTATCGAAGTTTTGATTAAGAAAACCTGCATACAAAATGTAGCCTATTTATTCACAAGTCTCAATATTTGATTAGGTGGAGCTTCGGGCTTGTTTAGGACTGCATTTGTAGAAAGAAATTTGGCTCATAAGTGCTTATGCTGGAAAGATGCTTCTACATAAAGCACTTCTAAATTTTTTTTAACAAACGTAGCTAGTAAGTGCTTTTTGGGTTTCAGAAAAGCACTTTTAACCGTTCGAGAATCATTTCCAAACAGACCCCAAAAGTCACACAATTTACAAAAGCCGAATGGGATTTTGTGTAGGAAATCAAATACCAGTGAGAAAAAAGCAAGGACCTTTAACCAGACCTCGGTGTTGGGGGCCAAACTGGGAAGATTCCATTTATGAATTGGAGTTGGAAACTGAAAAGTGATAGGTGACAACAAATAACAAACAGAAAAGGTAATCAAATAGTAGAGAAATAAAAGGAGGGGAAGAAGAGAAATGGGTTTTACTTGTCCGAGGGAGAAGGTATGAGGAGGATGGACTTGATATGGGATGCCCAAGACGGAGGAGCGTAGGCCTTTTTGGTCAGGAAGTCCATCGCCACAGCCTTTGCAGCCGGGTCGGAGCTGTTGGTGTTTGCGTCCACTTCCATTGTGTTGAACGGAGGAATGGGGAGCGACCGCAAGGCATGTCATTTTATACATGGTTTCTGCTCTCTTTGCATTCTTTGTCTCTGCTTTCTCTTACGCTTTTCTCTGCTCTCTGAGTAACACGGATTTTTTTTTTTTTTTTCTTCTCCTCTTTGAGTAAATAGCTTTCACTTTTTCTTCTCCTCTCTGAAGAACGACGAAAAAAGGGAGCTATAAATAAATTTTGTTGTACTTCTTATTGTTTAGGAATGTGATCGTATAATTCTATAAATAGGAATTCAATAGCGTCCAAAATAGGGAAAAACTATTGGTCCAAAATAGGGAAACGCTATTGGACAACGGATTCTTAAGCAACAGGCAAATTTGCAATTCACAACATTAGAAAGAGAGATAAGACACAACACAAACAACAATCATATTTCCATTAAACTGAGCACTACTCTTATTTAATATGAGCTAATTTCTTATGCATCCTTCATTACAGCATACACTTCGATTTGAGGACTTCTCACCCCTATAAACTGAGCACTACTTTGATTTATCTCGAGCCTTAGAACATTTTCCCGAGACCATCAATCCGAGGAACAGATTCGTTGACATCCATCCGACGCCAATTTCCCAACAACGGAGCCATCTGTTCTACCTTGTCGTACAACCCAAGTAGCCCGCCTGTGTGTATGAAGAGGACCTTTCTTCCTTCCCACTTCTTTGGATTCTCAGCCATGTCTTTCATCATTCCATAAGCAGCTTTGCCACTGTACGAGGAACAAAGTAAAATTGATTAAAATTGTTGATTGGAAATATAAAGTACACTCATGAATTTTGGTAATAACAAAGTGGAAACTAATACTGTTACGGACCTGTAAACTGGATCAAGAACAATCCCAGTGGTCGCAGCAATCTCCTTGACAAAATTAATCTCCTCAGATGTGTTAATTGCATAGCCCAGACCTTTGGCCTGTTGAACCACAATATATAATTCCTTTTTTGGAGTTTACAGTTTAGCATTACAACCACTATAGTAAGATCGGCCTCAAAAGAATATGTAAAATGAATTTACAGACTAATCTGATATGATACTCACATTCTGAATGTCAACAATATTACGTGAATCAACACCTGCCTCAAGCCCGTCAAGTAGGCCTTGAACATAGTCGTAGAAGTAATCAGGGTCATCACAGACAGAAAATGCGTTAACCTGCGGAGCAAAGGAACAAATAATTACATGACACGTCAGGAGTAGCGAATTGATCATCTACAGAAAGGAATCTAACGACATACTTTTGCCTTCAACGAACTGAGCCAAGAAGCCAATGACAAACCAGCAACTGTACCCCCACTGGAAATCGATAAAATAAAAACATTAATTAGAGGGAAGTGATATTAATCACAATCACAATCAACATAAACAATTATAGAGTGACATATATGCAGTCTTTCCATTTCACAAAAATAAATTGGAGTTAAATCCAATTAAAAAAAAGAGATGGCATAGCGAACCTGCCACAAGCAACCACAATATCATCAAACTTTACTTTGTCTATTCCACTCTGAAGCTGCTCCTCAATCTCATGTATTGCTTCAATATAGCCCCTGAATATAATAAAATACACAACGTGATATCAACAAAAACTAAACGACAGCTATTATGATCAACAGTGAGCACAAAATCAAGGAATATTGGATTTTCAAACTTTATAACCTTAAAAAAACACTAAACCATTATGAGAAACTGACGCCTCAAAACCCTCGCCCCTCCTTTCTCATTTAGAAGACCCCAAACATAAGGTTTATACCATATGATATTAGTCATCATGGATTATTGTGAAGAACATTTACCAGTACTAAATACAGATTAAAGCTTGAAAAGTCAAGAAAAATATGAAAGATTTCTCATTTCCAATATGAAGCAAAGATATTGCATCCAATTCTAGGAACCCAAAATAATTAATGATTAATAGATATGGCACTTGAAAGAAAATAGAGAAAATAAATACGAAAGTGTATAAAAAGAGTTTTGCACAAAACAGACTACCCATGAAGATTTCAATCAAAATACAAACCCAATCTCACCAAGTTCCGAGGGAATTTGATCCGCCAACAGGAATAACATATGGCCTTCTTCCTTCTTTTAGTAGTTTTTCCTTCAAGAGATTAGTGAGAACCTGGGACCAAATTTAATATAAGAAGCAAAATCACTATAGGAATAGAAATCGAAATATATGAATTCATTATTATCAGAAATGCATGTTCTTGACCCCAAAAGAAATACAAAATGGTAAAACGGTAAGATAACTGGTTGTATGCTCTTTCTTCCCAATCTGTTGAGCGATGAATCATTTAAAAAAGAAAGATCACTTGATATGCAGTTCATAACAACAAAGTCTTAATAGAATTACTTAGCCAGTGGTCACTGTTTTCAACTTCAGACTCAAACCATAAATATATTAAAAGGAAAACTTAAAAGAAATAGACACTGTTGACAAGAAAGGAAAAACTAGCATACCCCACTCCCGATTTTTGCATACTCTTCTTTTGAAATTAAATCAATATGAGCTCCAACTAAACGCTCAACCAGGAGATTGCCAGTCAGTCCAGGATCTTGGTCCACAAGAACCTGCAATAGGTCAAGGGGCAATAAGCAATTTGATTATAAAAACAAGTCGTGAAACTTAGAGACGGAAATCAACCTTTGAAGTACGTAGAATGAGATAGCAGTCAAGATTGAGATACTTGGCAGCCACTGCAGTTGCACGACAGTGGTTGCTTTGGATGCCCCCTATCGTCACAATACAGTCCGCACCCTTCTCTACCGCATCTGCCATCAAGAACTCCAATTTTCTGACTTTGTTACCGCTCAGTTGCATTCCCGAAAGATCATCACGCTAGATATTTGCAAATACTTCTGTCAGTGTAAAACCAGGAAAGTGAAGATATAAAACCAAAGTAATAACTCATATATTTACACCTCAAAAATTGCAAACTATAATTCTACACATAAGTCATGGGGGGCATAAAATCCACAAATCCAGCTCTGAAGTTAAAGTTATAAACTTCAACAAAAGATGCAACATTTTCGTCAAATTCGCGGTTAAAAGTCTCGATATTTGATTCAGTGAAAGCTAACTTAATCTGAGCATTCATCAGTAATAAATTAACAATTCAACGTACATGTATCATTATATATCACACAAATGATAAAACCCAAATGGTATTTTTCTATAGGAAATCAAATACCAGTGAGAAAAAAGTAAAAGAAAATACCTTTAACCAGACCTCAGTGTTGGGGGGCAAATTGGGAAGATTCCATTTGTGAATTGGAGTCGGAAGCTGCGATAACAAACACAAAGCAGCTGCTATTCAGTAATCAATACAATCAGAAGCAGTAATCGCATAGACAAATATGAGCAGATGAAGAGAATTGGGTTTTTACGTGTCCGAGAGAGAAGCTGTGAGAAGGGATGGGGTTGATGTGGGACGCCCAAGGAGGAGGAGTGTAGACCTTTTTCGTCAGGAAGTCCATCCCCGCCGCCTTCGCCGTCGTATTGGAGGTGTTGGTGGTGGCGGCCTCCGCTGCCATAGTGTGAATCCGATGAGACTGTAAGAGAAGGCGAGTGTGTTGGGGTTGGGATTGGGAGAAGACGGTGAGTTTGTTAATCGGAGAGAAGAGGAAGCTGCGACTAACCAACATATTTTTTCATCCCATTTCCGTGCTCTCTGTCTTTACTCTATTTCTCTGACGCCATTTTTGTTTGTCGTCTTTCCTTTGGAGTTTTTTTTTTTGTTTTTTCCAAAAACAATTATCCTTTCGAATTATTTGTCTTTTTATCTTTACCAAAAATAATTATCGACAATTTTTTTTTTTGATAAACCAAAATAATTTTTGGAAGAGAAATTCAGATAAAACGACAAAGTGAGAAGTTATACCAATTTCAAGAACTAGTATAGCTAATAGAATTATTTCTATTTTTTTCTTTACCAAAAATGATTATCACACTCCTGCATCTCTTAATGTTGGATGCTCGTTATATTTTATTTTAGTTTCTTTTTGTTAAGAATTTAACCCCATTTTTTTACCTGAAAAAACGAAAAAAACAAGGAGTTATGATTTTGTTATTTATAGGAAAAAAAATTATATAAAATGACGAAAAAATAGGGAAGAAGAGCAATTAAAGGAAAAATAAGAGACAAATTAGATAATGTGAGAAAAGTACAATATTAAGAGAATATAACTTGTAGATAGCAAGCGATCCTTTACTATAATGGGGGGAAGGGGGTCTTTTCACCCTTCCCTCACGGTACTACCGTACTGCTTTACTATCAGTCACTCAGGAGTATTTGGCCTTACAAGGTGGTCCTTGCTGATTCACACGTTTCCCATGCTCTATAATTATTATATATAATTCGAAATAATTTCATATTTAAATATTAAGTTTTAAATAAAATCAAGTAATGTAATTAAGTTTAGAATCTTATTCTACTTTCTATATTTATTGTATATTACAATCTTATAATATTATTATTTATTATATATAATTCGAAATAATTTCATATTTATTTAATAAATAATTTTATTTAGAATTATCTTCTAATTCTAAATTAACGGAATGGTTAGTTATAGCCATTTTATTAGTTTTAGTTATGGCTATTAATTTAATTTAAAATTAATAATACTCAAATCTTCCTTTTCTTTGTTTTGTTAGGTTATAATGTTATAGAAGGCTTGCCCTAAGAATAACATGAAAGATCATAATGAAACACTCCTCTAGTTTCATTCGGAAAGGTGGAAGAGTGTCATCTCTTTGCATGACGGTGTGAGTTCGAACTTCATCAGTGCTTAATCTAACTTACTAATGCTATCGCTCTACTCAAAAAAAAAAACTTATACATAATGTGGCATTAGCTCACTAAATTATAATAATCATGAGAACTATCTATGACACACACTATTTGTTTCTCAACGAATGTGATTGAAGATAAACACGAAAAGTGTGGAAATACTTCCCCTGCAATAAATTTGGAGTACTTTTGAAGTTTGCCATCCCCACTCTTGAATGTGGTAGCTACTAGCCCACTAGTATGGTGCCCATGTAAGCTCGAAAGCTCTAATCTTGCATGCAAAACTTGATTAGAAAATTAAAAAAAAAGTATTTTAAGTATTTATAGGCAAGAAGAAGGCTTTACCGTGTGGAACTATAATAATATGAAATTGGAGGGAGATTGGGAGGGAAGCTTTGAGAGGTGGAAGAATGGTAGGTGTTCGGGTGAGATTAGGTTTGGGGAAATCAGCACAGTAATTTTAGTTCTTGTTATTCTCAGCCTCACACCTAAATTTGGGGAGCTTTCTCTGCAACTACAATCCAATCTTTCTTTTTGCATTTTTAGTCTTTTTTTTTACTCCAAGATTTTGATTCATGGGTTGCTGTCAAATTTAGTACTAGATTCCTAATCAATGGTTCAAGTTAGCCAATCCCACTTCTTTTGATTTTTTTTTAGGGAATTTCTTCATATTTTTGGGTATTTTTTGGGATAAACTTAGCTGGGTTTCTGTCTAAATTTAATGAGTGGGTTGTAGAATAGATAGAATTTTAGTCTGAGGATTGTGAGCAAACCATTTTTGTTTCTATTTTCTCTGTTTTTCTTCCTTTTTATCCACATTTTTGCATTTCTGCTTTCAGTCTCAATCCTTTTTGTTATTTTTGCCAGCTTGTGTGTTATGAAAGCAATGCCTTTCACCTGTTAGAGGATAAAAGCGAATAAGGCTTTGTTTGTGTTTCGACCTTCATCTTGAACACCTTTGAGGTACTTTGCCTTCAACCCCCATGTTCTTTTATCCGCAGATTATGAATGTTTGGAGAAAAGAATGTTCTTTTATTTTTGGAATTGTTGTTTTAGTTACGTGATTAACTTAATTGATTCGAGTGGATTGACATAGTATCGTTGCCTCATTTGATTGAATTAAGGTTAAGGCATTACTGTTGTGTTTTGTGTTACCCTTGCAATTGTTGTCTTAGTTAGTGTTTGAGAGTTTTTGTGGACGGATGCAACTTGTAAACCAAAGCCAAACCCATCCAATAGAAAACCAGGCTTTTTGACAAACCAATGTTGCAGGACGAAGGTGTCAATAAGCCATGTCTGAGCTGCAATAAGAATTTTCGATGCAATCAATATATGACTACGGGACAGGTAAAGCCGCTAGCTAACAGCCTAACACAACGCTTCTGAGAATGTCATAATAAAGTGATGTTTCTGGGTTGCCAACTGATTTGGATTCTAGGATAGAGAGAAGGTGCTACAATTTGGTTCTCTTGTGTTTGTTATCAATATAAGGCTGGTCTGGTGTGATAATAGATATTAGTTGGTAGCGAGAAGGTCCGAGGATGTTTCTTCATTAGAGGATTCCAACTTTGGTTGGTGAAAATGTGCTGAAAGTGTGCAATGCTGCAATGCAAACTAACGAAACTAATGCATGTGCTGATTGCGAAAAAGTGCTAAAAGTTGGGGTGCTTCTCAATGCACTGTAATTGTAAAATCTAACTTGCTGATGCTGTGAAGTGTTTAGATGTTGATTACATTAGCACCTTATAATTTCGTATTATAACATCACTAACTGTTTTATTTATGCTGACAACGTGGGCAGGCACAGCAAAAGATGCATTGTGCCCTTCCAAGGACCACCAGTGATACTGATGTCCAGAAAATTTCAGACAGAAGAAGAGATTTGTTATTATGGAAACAACGAAAAAGTTCTAGAACATCTTTGGAGGTAATATATGTCTATTTTACAAATCAATTTTGATGTACTTCACTTCTCGGCTATGACTTGAAACAATTATCTGACCAGTCTTCTGCGGGTTACCTTGCTCAGGATTGTGAAGTGCCTTCTGTCACATGGAGGAACTCTGATCGTAGGTAAAATTGTTTCGGTTTCCATTGCCCAATTGCTTTGTTTCTCACGGCTATATGGTGAAACCAATCCACTAAATTGAGTTTGTATATGCTTTGATGGTTTTGCGTATTACTTAATCATCATAAATACATTTAATACATAACATAATGCGCGTCAGCGTTTGTTAGACATCGCTAAGATTATCATAGCTTTTGTACCTTTTATTTTCTGGTCCTCTCCTGTTATAGCTGGGTAATGACTTTTTATTTGACATTTCAGGTGTGGTATCTTTACATTCCTTTCCCTTAAACCTGATGAACAATGGAGAATCGTAGCACTACCATCACAATGTCCGTACAATATAAATCAGCCGGTATCTGATACTCCGGTGAATATGGATAGTCTACATCTGCTTTACCCGCCTCCATTGAACCCATTCAAGGTTACTCGACACAGGGTTCAGAAAGTACTTCCTCTTGACGCCACTTATTCTGTCAATTCATTTACAAGTAGAAGGTTCACTGGTTCAAGTGTGCGACACCAACCTCGAAATAAGACCTTGACAAATAAAGCTACTAAGTGGAATGGAGTTCCTAGGAAATCTTTTCACAAGTCAATAACCAGCAGTGATTCCGCAAGTGCCATCCCAAATGGTTCTAATGCTATTAACTCATCAAATATGAGTATCGGCAACCAAAAAATAGACAACACCACAAAAAGAAGTTCGAGAAAGAAGAATAGAAAGAAGGGAAAACAGAACAAGAAGTTTTCATGCAACATTAGCTCTAATGAATCGGAAGTGCTGTCTGAGGAATATCCCAATGGAAGTTCAGCTTCTAAAACCTGTGGTAACAATGATGGGGACAGACCATTGTCTTCTTCAACTGCACCAGATACTTCATTGCCAGATGATGGGGCCAAGAATTCTGAAACGTCAAATACATGCACCTCTTCAAGTGATGAGGCGGGTATATCGTCTGTCGGTAATTTTGAAAATCAGGTTCTGCTCAAAGACTCTGGATTTCCCATCTTCAACGGTGTGGAAGGTATTCATCCACAGACAAGCTGTCGCAATGATATGTATACCAAAGGTTACTATGACATCCATGACTCATTCATTTTGGATTCAGTTTCATTTGGTTCATACAGTGATGATAGTACTAATGCTGGTCATGATGAAAAACATGCTGAGACTGAAATTCACGAAATATATATTTCTGAACCGCCAAGTTTGAGTTCAAGAAAGGGATATTTCTCTTGTCAAAGCTCGTTAAATGATGCCGTGGACTCCTACAACCACACTGAGGGAACAAGGCATGGTATTCAGGGTCGTAGCAACAGTGACGTGCAACTCATTGCACTTAACAAGAGAAGTAAACAAAACAAAGTAGCACCTCGAAATTCAAATGTCTCTAAATTTGGAAGTTCTGGAAATCTGCATGCTCGTACAGGGAAGGAAAGCAATCAGTCTGTCTGGCAAAAGGTCCAGAGGAATGATTCCGGCGACTGCACTGGTGAGTTGAAGAAAGCAAGTTCTGTTTACTCACGTTATGATCTCCCTCTGAGAGAGTCTTATTTTCTTAAAAGAACCTGTAATGCTGCTGATGTAAATGCCTTTCCAAAGAGTGGGGATAGAAAACAGCAAAAAGATAAGGTTTCAAAGAAATTGAAAAGAAAGAGTGATCCGGCTTTGAAACAAGAATACAATTGTTATTCTAGGAAGGGGTCTCATGCCAGCATGTCCGGCTTAGATGGTTGTGTGAAGGATAGGATAGAACAGAATGATATATCAGATCAGGCGAAGGACAACAAAGGATTAGATCTTGCTTCAAGATCTTGTTCTCCACCTAGCTGTCTGAGCGCTGGATTTCAGAGCAGCAAAGTAGAATGCATGACTTCTGAATCAGTTCCCAGCATGCAACTCTGTCCAAATGAAATGGCTCATCTTGAAAGTGTTGGTAATAGTGTCTCTCACATGAAGTATCAAAGTGTAAGAAATGAGAGTAGCACAATGCAGTCTCCAGTTTACCTTCCTCATCTACATTGTAATACAGCAAGTCAAGAAGTACAGAAAGAAACCTCTCTTGCGGAAAGCAGGCAAAACTATAGTACTTCTGGATCTTTTACGCACAAATGGATGCCAATTGGGTTGAAGAATCCCGGATTGACAAACTCTACTAGATCTGGCAGTTCATCACTTGAACATTCTGATGAGGCAGCTTCTAGGAGATGGACTCTTAAAGACACTGCTAAAGGGTACGCGGCTTTCAATACTCAAAATCCTGTTTCTGATGTTGCAGTTGTGTGCCCAGGTCAAAGTTCTGGAGACTTAACTTGTTCTTCCAACGGATTCGAGGGAAGGCTTCCAAAACCAAGTACAACTAAGGAACTGATCAATAACAAGCTCAATGCAGCTAACTACATCAAAAACTCTGACGTACCTAGAGATGTAAATGCATTTGAAGCTGATTCAAACAGAATACTAGAAGCAGTAAATAATGCTTGTAGGGCACAACTGGCATCCGAAGCTATTCAAATGGCCACTGGTCGCCCCATTGCTGAATTTGAAAGACTTCTTTATCATTCATCCCCGGCTATTCATCAGTCACCCAATTCTGTAAGTTGTCATACTTGCTGCTCAAGGAACCAGGTTGATCAGGTTGGGGGTGTGCCATTGTGCAGACATGAGACACCTGACATCAGTTTAGGAAGCCTATGGCAGTGGTATGAGAAATATGGTAGCTATGGTCTGGAAATAAGGGCCGAGGAACTTGGAGATTCAAAGAGATTGGGTGCTGATCGCTTTGCATTTCGTGCTTATTTTGTCCCTTATTTGTCAGGAATTCAGTTATTCAAGAATGGAAATGCTGATTATGCAGATGCTAACAATAGGTTTCCTGGTTCTGATGCGCCAAGCGCAAGCCTGGATAGTGACACATCCAAAAATTCCTCTAGCATTGGTAGTCTTCCACTATTTTCATTACTTCTTCCTCAGCCTGATCATAAGGAAGATGCGGTCACTCCACCGCTTGTAAATCAACAGTGTATTTCAGAACAATCTTCTGCTTCTGCCAGAGATGTATCTGTTCGATTAACTGACACAACAGGGTCCGGTGATTTAGAGCTACTGTTTGAATATTTTGAATCAGAACAACCTCAGGTTAGACGACCTTTATATGACAAGTAAGTATCCTTTTATATTTTTTTACTAAAGTTGTCATTTAAAACGATGTTGTATTTACTTTGTAGCTTGTCATAGATCCTAAGGAACTTTATGTATTTGTTGAAGATCTTATATCTGTTGCCCTTCATTTCAGGATAAAAGAGCTGGTACAAGGTGATGGACTGTCACATTCTAAAGCTTATGGAGATCCAACAAATCTAAACTCTAAAAATCTAAATGATCTGCATCCCAGATCCTGGTTAGTAATAAAACTGGCTTCAATCTCTTTAAAATGTAAAATATGTATTCGTAATCGACCGTTTTTAGTTTCACAAAACGAAGCAAAATTATTAGTAATACAACTGATGCCGAGCAAATTCTAACTAGTACATAACTTTCAAGTGCCATCTGAATTTTCAGGTACTCAGTGGCATGGTATCCAATTTACCGGATACCTGATGGTAACTTACGTGCAGCATTTCTGACTTACCATTCACTCGGTCATTTGGTCCATAGAAGTACCAAATTTGAGTCTCATAAATTGGATACTTGTATTGTATCTCCAGTTGTGGGTCTGCAAAGCTACAATGCTCAGGTAGTCATGGCTAATAGTGCATAGATGCACAAATATTGCGCAGCTGTGGCATATAGTTGAGGCATATTGTAAAAGTTGCTGCGCTTATTAATTAATATATATTGTGTCGCGTGTGCACAGGCTGAATGCTGGTTCAAGTTAAGGCCCTCAGCACCGAGGCAGACAACAGTAACACCATGGGGCTTAAACCCTTGTGGAGTACTAGAAGAGCGTTTGAGGACACTTGAGGAGACAGCATCGCTTATGGCAAGAGCTGTTGTGAGCAAGGGAAGTACGACATCTGTAAACAGGCATCCGGACTATGAGTTCTTCCTCTCTCGGCGACGCTGGAGGACTTCTTAAAGTCTTAACTAATTCATTTTAACAACTGGTACAACTCGTTGAGTAGTCTTCCAAATTAAGCATATTTAACATTAGATAGGGAGAAAGAGTTACCTTACCACCCGTTTCCTGACCTTGTGTTTTTTTGCTTACACTGGTTTGACCCCCCATAAATATGTATTCTGTATATATAGCTTTCCTCTCTGTTTTTGTGTTTCAGGTTACGCAAATGTGTGTACATAATTTTCCTCATAGCATTATTCTGTAAATAGTGCTGGGTTTGAAGATTGGACGCAGTTACTAATACAACGATTCTTTGATATAACCTTTCATTTCATGGTGCTTATATATTTGAGCGGTTCACCTATAATTCGGCTATAGATTTGTATTATATTTGAGTATGTACATATACACATACGCCTTTCTACCGAGAGGTTGGGGAGAGAAGGGGAGAGTATTGGAGAAAAGCCCCCAGCCAAGCAGAAGATCTGAGCAGCCACCAGACTCGAGGATCCGTGCCTCGAGATGATGACTGACGCCCAAAGACAACACACACAAGTCCAGAGCACCTCTATTAAAATTGACCATGAAAACACAAATTTATACAACTTGCCGACTTGATCACGACTGACAACCCCTCAGATTCCCAGATCCTTCCTATATTCTGCTCTGTCCAAAGTTGCAAACTGGAATATATAGCCGAGATAATGAGAATCGAGTACCAAAAGCAACACTCGCAACTTGGTAGTTTCAGCTGTCGAACCCAACATCTACTCCGCGCATACCAACCATGCTCCTCCCCCATCGACATTTTTGACAATGCCTATCAAATATAAGCAGAGCAAAATGATTGAGGCTAGTTAGGGTGAAGTGGCTGGTGTGTTACAACCGAACCACGTAAAATGTTCGCCTAGTTTGTGCTCGAAAAATGATCGAGTCGACCTCAACATGGAGAGCCTCGTTTTGGTTGACATGGTAGTATGAATAGCCAAGTTTAAGTGTATTTGTAAATGACTTGGTCCGCTTCAATTTCATGTAATTGGTTGATAGACTTTGTTATTAGCTACGGAGGTATATTCAATTGAGAATTTGAGAGATTTTAAAAGATTTTAAAAGATTTGTGGATGCTTAAAATGCATTACGAAATCTCTCCAATTCCCTATAATTCCTCAACTTTCTCAAATTTTTTAAAATCAATTTTTAATTGAATACACCTGGAATTTTATAAATTTATTTAAAATCTTAATTGAATACACCCAGATTTCTAAAGATTTTAATAAACTATCTTAAAATTCTAATTGAATACATTTTGAATTTCAGAGAATCACTTAAAATCCTAATTGAATACCCCTAGATTCATTAAAAGAATCAAAATCACTCAAAATCCCAATTGAATACACCCCCAAGTTAAAAGAGAAAACTTGTTCTTAGCTAGCTAGGAGAAACTTCTTATCGTTTGGAGGTTTCAGCCGAGATGAATGAACAAGGAGAGTAGTGGCGTGACCAGACCCATTATTTTCAAGGGAAAATTGGAGGGTCAGAGCTCCAAGTCTCAATGGTGGCGTCTCCGGTCTGAGCTGAGATGGTTAGCAGCGGGCCACATTAATAGTGCTGCATGCTTCGTCGTCCTTTTCCTTTTTGTATATTCTGATCAGACCCAAACGAATGGCTCAGACGACATACTAATAAGGTGGTGGTGGTGGGTATTGGTAGTATGCTGACCCAAAGAGAAATTTAGGTGCCCTGATCAATTTTGGGGCGAGGTGGATTGGAGGAACACATTTGCTTGTTTGAAGTGGATTGGAGAAGCAGATTGTTTGTTGTTTTGGACGAGTCGAGCAGATCATTTTGTTTGAGGTGTCGAATGATTTTATCATGATCTCTGTGTTACAATAAGTTTAAACTCTCTTTTGTGTTTGATGGTTGGTAGGAAGAGCACAAGTGGTTTGACAGAGCATAAATTTTCTAGGCCCAGCAGATTAATTAGTTTTCGATAAGACTTGTGGCTGCAACTTTTGGTGGTCGGTTTCGGCTCGGATATGCTGCTGGAACCAATTTTTTTCTTCTCTTTTGGTTGATACGGTGTTCTTATGGCAATAAGGTGAGGTTCGTTCATTTGTTGCCTTTTTGCTCTTATCGAAGGTGGTCATGATAATTTTGTTGAATCGAATGATATATTATATTTATTTATGTTCATTTTTCGATTGTTCAAACTGCAAGTAAGACCTCGACCCACAAAGAAAACCTTCCAAGTAAGAGATTTAGGGATAAATAACACACATCACTGTTGTATTAAAATTATGCTCAAAACATCCCTCGGAGTCGGAAGGAGACTGGCTATATAGGAAGATTGGTACATCATTACATGGGCAAATCTAACCATGATCTTCTTATTTATTTAATATTAGATTTCATATAATTTGTGAGTCGATTTGATCAACTGTTATTGTACCAAAACTGTTTCTGAAGATAATCAACCACATTATTGTCCAACTGGAATGCCTTGGTCAAAACATCAGGGTTGATGGGAGGTTTGGATCCGAAGACTGCATTCGCAATGGTGATCACTCCCGGGTTCTGGCTGCCGAAAGCGGCGATGGCCAAAGCATTGGTTTTTCCGACATTGAGTTGGAAGTGAATGAGACCGATTGGGAATACAAACACATCTCCCTTGTTCAACACTTTGGTGAACAGCCGATTGCCGTCGCCATTAATATTGGATGTGACAAATCCGACGTAGAGTGAGCCTTCTAAGACTATGAAGATCTCCGTGGCACGAGGGTGAGTGTGAGGCGGATTGACGCCATTTGGTGCGAAGTCTACGCGAGCAAAGGATATGCCGAGAGTGTTGAGTCCGGGTATAACATCCACGTTCGCTGCCGTAACAATTGAACCGACCGGATTCGATGTGTTTCCGGCGTACCGGAGCTTGTCAGAGAAGAAATCGTTTGCTGATGCAAGATTTGGGTCCTTGCAGAACTTCCCGTTCACAAACACTGCTCGCAATGATACACACAAGCAATTAAATCTTTTTTATGTACGTAGGTGTTGTACATGCATGGATGATGAGCCATCAGCCTCATCATCCATGCAAAATCATATAGTTAGGGTTTAGGCCTTGCTATTTCCTACGTACTCTGTACTGAATGGAATCTTAATTATAGATATTGTTTTTACATAATTAAAACATATAAGTATACGTACCAGCATAATCGGTGTTATTAATTGCTACGCAAAAGTCCTGAAGAGGATCGGGATCAGAGGCAGAGGCAAGGAGGGTAGCAAATGCTAATACTGACAGGGCAGCAGCAGTTACAGGGAAATGAACTCCTTTCATCGCTAGCTATAGTGTATAGGGGATTAGCAAGGACGTGGAACTTGTATTTAACTAGATGATCTGATGATGAGTTGGTTCGAGATGGATGAAAATTATGCATGGGGACACTTCTGTATTTATAGATTAGCAAGAGAGACTGACGATGAACTGGTCTTGGATTTTCCCTGTGGATAATCAAAGCAGGTAAAGACTTGTATTATAATTTTTAGAAGCATCTAGAGATTTGATCACGACTGATAACCTCTCGGATTAAAATTTAATATTAATTTGTACCAATTCCTTTCACAATAAGCCACTGACCATACCAAAAGGAACCCAATAAACAAACAATAATAAGGTAAAAGGCCCATGCAAAATGACTTGATCACGACTGATAACCCCTCAGATTCCTAGATCCTTCCTATATTATGCTCTATCCAAAGTTGCAAACTAGAATATATAGCCGAGATAATGAGAACCGAGAACCAAAAGCAACACTCGCAACTTGGTAGTTTTAGCTGTCGAATCCAACATCTGCTCGGCACATACCAACCATGCTCCTACCCCATCGCCATTTTTGACAATGCCTTTCAAATATAAGGCAGAGCAAAATGATTGAGCCTAGTTAGGGTGAAGTGGCTGGTGTGTTACAACCGAACCACGTAAAATGTTCGCCTAGTTTGTGCTCGAAAAATGATCGAGTCGACCTCATCATGGATGGCCTCGTTTTGGTTGACATGGTAGTATGAATAGCCAAGTTTATGTGTATTTGTAAATGATTTGGTCCGCTTCAATTTCATGTACGTAATTGGTTAATAGACTTTGTTATTAGCTAGGAGGCGTATTTGACTTATTCTGCTATTCTACTTGAACAAAATTAAAGAGAGAAAACTTGTTCTTAGCTAGCTAGGAGAAACTTCTTATCGTTTGGAGGTTTCAGCCAAGACGAATGAACAAGGAGAGTAGTGGCGTGACCCGACCCATTTATTTCAAGGGAAAATTGGAGGATCAGAGCCCCAAATCTCAATGGTGGCGTCTCCGGTCTGAGCTGAGATGGTTAGTAGCCGGCCACATTTATAGTGCTGCATGCTTTGTCGTCCTTATTCTTTTTGTATTTTCTGATCAGACCGAAATGAATGGCTCAGACGACATACTAATTAGGTGGTGGTGGTGAGTATTGGTAGTATGTTGACCACAATGCATTAAGAGGCAGGGCGTGGCCGAGACATCCAATGGATAGTCCAGTTTAGGAGCAAGGCGAAGCCTCACGTAAATTAAAATTTTAGTAAGTTTTTTGTTTTTTGTTTTATTTTTATTAATTAGAGATATGTTAGGATTACATGTGAGTGATGCTTTATAAAAAAAACAGCAAAATTTGGTTGTGTGAAATTACATTTCTGCCTCATATTTCTTATTGTTCTTTTTTAATTAGAGGGTTAAACTGGTAATTTCATAGGATTTTGGTTGACAATCAATGTTTTATTAATTAGTAGAGATTATACATATAAGTATATTTATAACAATATAATACTTTGTAAAAACAAATATAACTATAACTAAATCAAAGATAATATCATCTTCTTTATTACTAAGTCTAGTTGTACTTGGAAACTATGTCATATTGTCTCAAAATTTTATAATTATTTATTTTATTGTAAGCAATTATAGAGAACTTCAAGAAAAATAAGGGTGATTGGTCACAATTATAGGAAAATTTCAAGCAAAATAAAGGCTGAATGTGGCAATTAAAAGTAATTTAAAAGGAAATAAAGGATGAGTGAAGTAGTTATAGGATATTTAAAATGATATAAAATAATAATTATGGGAATTTAAAGGAAAATAAAGGGTTGAGTGAAGTATTTATAGGGTATTTAAAATGAAATAAAGGTTGAGTGGAGCAATTATTATGAAAATTTATGGGATTTGGAGAGAGAAAGTCTCTCATCCTTCATTGAAATAGAACGGCAGAAAACATTCCCAATGATGCATGAACCCCATATATTTAAATTTTCCTTT